TATTGCAAGCAACTCACATCATGTTGATATCACTGAATTGTGAAATCAGCCTCTTTCTCAGATATAGAAGAATCATTAATACAGAATTCATTCTTTATTGATATTCTGATAACAGCTGTATCATCAAGATAGAAATCTTCAATAAGACATTTGATATATTAACAATGTATCAAATCAATTCTCTTATCAGAATAATTGATCTTTATACTCAAATACTTAATTGACTGATGTAGATTCTTGACTTTCAATTTCTCACTGAGTATACTCACTAGTCAATCAGCATTCTCAGAAGCTTTGAATATGATGTTGAGATCATCAATGTAGATCATTATATAGAGATGACATCTGAATGTATGATATCAGAGTGTTAAATCATGAGTACTGACTGTAAATTCAAGATCACTTAACAGAGCTGTTAAGTAATCATATCAGATCTTCACTGCAGAGTTCAGGTTATATAGACTACTCTCAACTGTGCAGACAAGTGTTTTCAGCAAACCTGTCTCAAATCTGATAAGTTGTCTCATATAGACCTTCTTAGTGAGATGCTTATGAAGATATATTATCACTATATTCATCTGATGAAGTGTTCAACTGTATAGTACTACTATTATAAAAAGAATATAATTGACAGTATCAGTGATGACTGAAGTGTAGATCTCTTCTCTAGAATTCTTCTTAAGTCAGTTATCATAAATCACTCAATGTGATTTTCTAAGAATATCATCAGAATCAGTATTCAGATTCACAGATCTATCTTTCTCAAGAAACACTCAACAGCCTGAAGTAATCAGTTCACTTCTCAGAACATCAGATCTAGAGATCAAACTCTATATATTATATCTCTTCAGGTCAGTAATCTCACATTGCATAAACTTCTTTCAATAATCTTCTACTCTCTCTGACTAAGATGTGGCATTCTTGTAGAACTTTAGAAGATTATCTGTAATAAGGCTTGAAGTGTAAGTAGCCAGCGATTTCGCGGGCTGCAATCATGTAGAATTCAGATCATCAATATTAGAAGCATCTTCATCATCAATCAGATGAATATCAGGTTTCAGTACACTGGCATTATTAGTAGATGTCACAGATGTGACAATCAGTTCAATAACATGATTAATGAATTTCACAGATGTAACAACCGGTTTTTCAGTGATTGAAAATCTCACATCACTACTGGCAATAATCTTGTCAGATTCGGGATGTCATAGGTGATATATCAATTTGTCACTGAATTCAATGATATGATAGAAATCAGCATGTGAAGAGAGCTTATCTGTGAGCTGCTGAGATTCATGCAAGTGAATAAAAACCTCTGCACTTAATCAGTGAAAATGCCTTACATTCAGCAGAGTATTTGTAAGTGCACATTAAGAAATCTTATATAGACTTAGAATCACAGAAGTCTCTGCAGTAGAGGATCAAAATTTCAAGTTATAAAGAACTGTAGATATGAGAGTATTATTGATTATTATAATCACTGTCTCTAGAATATCTGTCCAGAACTTCTTAGAGAGATTACTCTTTAAAAGAGCAGCTCTAACTCATTCTATAATAGTGCAGATCTTATGTTCAGAAACATCATTCTGATGTGATGAATGTGATGCTGTTGATTCTTATTTGATACTATATAAATCTATAATTGTGTGCATATATGTGAATTGAAAAACATTATCAATATCAGTTCATAGAAAAGCAGAGACTGTATATCTGAGATTATTCATGAATCTGAGTCACAACTCAAAGTATTGAACAGCCTCATTCTTGAACTTTAAAAAATATACTCAACAGTAGTGAGTTACATCACAGATAATGAGCATTCAGTATTTGATTTTCTGATGAGACTCTAAGAGATAATCAGAGAGATCTTTCAATGTATATCTGTCATCTGCAAGGTCAATATAGACCTTCTTAATGAGTTGAATAGATCTAGGCATCAGTGTTTTCAAATAATCTCATGTCATATCAGTCTTGACACATTTCTTGCAAAAGAACTTAGTCTTAGAATCTTTGATTATGACTTCAGTATAGAAATTCTTGACCATAGTAATTATAACATCAGTGTGAATGTGACTGAGATTATAATATCAATTCAAAAGAGTCTTTGATATCTTTGATATCTGTGTTCTCACATTCACAGAATTAACACTATTAACAGTAGTAACAGCAGTCATAGAAAGATCAACTTTTCAATTAAAATTATACTCATGTGACATTGCAATATACTTGACTGCTCTGTTTAGATAATTGAGATTCTCATTGAACTTCTGTTCATTGATCTTATATATGTTGTTCTGAGCAGTTCAGACTGTATGAAAAATAACATCATTTAAGACTCTACAAATGAAAAATGAGAGAATAGTGAAAGACAATGTAAACTGAAATCTCTGATCTTCAAGTTCACAAATG